CTAATTTGGGAAACTTGGTTTTATGCAGCAGAATTATTTGGGAAGTTTTAGGAGAGATTCTCATAATATGTTGGTGGGTTTCTGCAACTATCATCGAATTCTCAAATATGTACAATGTACTTAAGTTAAAAGCTAACCAATTTATATGTTTTTCTTTGCCCCACAGCTAACCAACTTATTTCCCATCCTCACATTTTCAGAAAAATGAGGTAAAAGAGCACTTTAGACTGCAAGTATAAGTTTCTTTAATCACATATGAAAAACTTTGGGAAGAAATGTTTTTGGGAAAAAGAAAAGAAATGCACATTGAATAATTGTGGGTTTTTCTCCTTTCCCTTAGTGGAGCTAGCTATATGAAAATAAGGTCTTAATTTCTGCAGCGTTATTTTTTGGTTCTCATCTGAATCCACTGTGATTAGGAGTTCACTGTTGAAATGCTAATGCAATAGCAGTATAAGGATGTTTGGCATGTCACCTGTACTACAGCCCACAGATCTCCAAACACTTCAGAAATGTTTGCAAATTAATCCTCCTTACATTTCAGCAAATTATTCACTCTTCAGAGCCCACAGATGGGGAACAGGAGATGGGATTCCTGAGTGGAACGCTGTATTCGTTCAGATGAAAGGGAAGAGATAGGAGGGTGACCTCATTAGTGTGCCCACACTCTGTGGCAGATTCAAGAGCCAGTAAAATGCTGCTAGCCAAACATGCTAAGTGGTAGGGGGCCACATCAGTCACTCTCCTAGCATAGTGTTCTGAGCAGGGTTTGGGGCATGCCTCTGGGCTCACCCCCTAGCTTTGTTACTTCCAAGCTCATGAGCAAGTTTCTTTACTGCCCTAGCTTCACTTTCCTCAACTGTAAAATCAAGGTCAGACCTGCTTCACATGGTTGTTGTGAGGATTAAACAAAATAATGCAAATTAATCCTGGCATCCAGGGTAAGCCTCCAAGTTAGGTATTTTGTGGCATTATTTTCCCCACCGGGATTTATTAACAAAGACACAGCCTAAGTGAGAGAAGCCAGAACACTAGGATACTACTCTACATCTCTTCGAGAAAAATCCACTTCACAATGAGATAACTATAAACTCTTTCAAGAACACTCTATAGGTATCTTGGTTTTAGCCACCACACTAACTAGGCCTTGCATCCAAGGTCCCATATGATGCAGTTTAATGTCACACTTCAACCATGTCCTCCTGTATTCACTCAGCCAACGTGCATGGGGCACACTGCACACAGGGCGTGGGCTTAGGTGCTGAGAATCCAAAGGTTGGATCAGATAGATAGTTCTGCCCTGAAGCTGCTTCCGGTCCGGACACAGGAAGTGGACCAGATGAAAGAGAGTAGATAGAAAGGGTCAGAGGAGGGGAGTTTTCAAAAACTTAGTGCCTGAAAATTGGCAGTCTTAGCTGCTTTGGAAACTCAAAAAACTTAAGTTCTTGGATTATGTCTCTCTATACGTCTCTCCATCCTGCCCTCTGTACTGTCAGATATCCCTTCTGGGCATTATTCCACATCAAAAATCTATAGTGTGCCCAATTCCAAGTTCTTTCCCCTTCTCAGCTGCAGGACACCTGGACTCCTAGAGCGGGACAATGGTGTTGTACAGTAGGAAGAATCACACAACACCTGGTCCCGTCCATCCTTTGGACTCCTCCAGGCGGGAGTGAGAGTCAGCTGGGAAATAGAGAGTGGATACTGCTTCAGGCAGGCAGGGGAATCTGTGGCAAGCAGTGAAGACTACTAGAATATGAAGTGGAGAAGCAAGCTTTACCCACAAGTTGAAGCTGACTAGTGATTTGTAGGGGAGTCTGTGACTCTAAGGTGGTATACAAAAATGTGCATTTTTGTGGGGGATCCATTTAAGGAACTTGTGCATTAACTAGGTACCAGGCACAGTTCCAGGAACTGGGAAAACATTAGTAAACGAAATGGCCCAAGTTCCCTGCCCTCCTGGAGCTTACACTCTAGAGCAGTGGCTCCCAACCTTTTCATGGCCACGCCCCACCCAAGCATCTCTAAAATCGGGATGCCACCAACCCCCTCCCACCCCACCCCACCCCCCATGACATATCATTCTTATTCAAAAAGCGACCTCCTGTTCACATGGGGAAAGCCTAACAGGCCATTAACCTGGCTTAAACAAGCTTCCAAAGAGCATGGCAGCCATGAAAGAGAAAAATAAAAGAACAAAAGGAAGCACTGAAGTACTGAGGAGGAAATCACTAAGACATTGTTAAAAAAATAATAATGATATGAAGTGATATGAAAAATAGCAAATAGTTTCAAAACATGTCATAGAGAACTGAAATGCATAAATATGTCACAATACGTATTTATATACTGTATGTGAGGTCCCTGGGACCACAAAAATTGCAAAACATTCACTTTAATAACTCATTCTCGAATTGTCCCCCTTAACAAAGTGCCCCACGTTGGGAACCACTGCTCTCGAGGAAGATGTGGACCACAGGTTTATTTTCCAAAAGGGTCTGTGATGTGAGAAATGCTCAGGAATCACGATGCTAGACCTGTGGTCCTTCTTGTGTATCAGCACCACTTAGGGGAAACCTTAAAAGTCCGGAGGTTCTGATGGGCTGGCTGCATGTTGTGCTTGGGAAGGAACTTTCCAAGTTCCCACGCATTTGATCCAGCCGAGTGTGAGAGAACTGATTGCTCCTGAGGAAAGAGAATGGAGACCGAGTTCCCCTCACCAAGGAAAACGGGCCACTTCCTTCTTTCACAGGTTCTACCAGGCAATGGGCCGTCAGCTCCCCTCTCAAGAGAGAAGCATCCACATGCTTCCCTGATTTTTATTAGCTTACAGGGCACCCTCCAAAGAGTGCTTTAAAACGGTTTAAACGTATTCCTGTATACTATAGTTTAAGCTTTAGAAAGGAGAGGAATATTATCATAGCTAACTTGAAACCCCAAATTACTTTCCAATTCTCTTTCCACATACTACTACTAGTAGTATAAGTTTTTATTGTTCGCCCCTTAAAAGTATTCACTTTACAAGCTGGGCACTTCACAAGTGTTGGTCCGCGTCCTATCCTAAAATTCGTGTGCAGTGTTGCTATACTCGCTCAGCAGGGGAGCCCGGGAGACTCCAGGGGTCAAGAGCTGGCTCAAGGTCACACGGAGATTGGACCCCTGGGCGCCTGGACCCAGATCTCAAGCCGGGCCCGTCCACTCACCTCCCTTATTTAGCACTTGGCCTCTCTCCTGCGACCAAAGATGAACAAACAAGTTATAAATCACGGAGGGAAAAATTTGCTTGGGGGCCTCTACCGCCCAGGCCGACCGGGGAGCGTCGGGAGGGCGGCCTTCCCGGCGCGGGGTAGTCTTTGTCCGCAGCTCCGAGCTGGGGACCGCACTCGCTCCACCTTCGCCACCCTCGGCCCCGGGCGGCGAATTCCGAGGCGGCTGCCGCGCCCGTGCCCACGCCTCCGCGGCGCCGGGACGCGGTGCG